AAAGTAAGGCTTGACATATCTTGCTTTGCATGTAATGGGTCTATCTCATATATTAGTTTCACCTTTTGAGTTGCCTTACTGACATAAATGAATATCTGCACGATATTCTAATTTTTCGAGTTTCACCTGTATATGCACTCTATATTATGGATCTAGCCACTACACGCCTGCAGAATGTGAATCCGAAGCTCAGGTCCTTCTGATTTTGCGGGACTGTTACATGACAGCACGTGAAATCATCAAATCACAACATCCGTTTGTCTACGTGCAACATGCCATACAATAAACTGCCACAATAACAGATTCAACAACTTTGGCCTCACTTGAGTTTGCTTAAATTAGCTCTCTTACAGGCTCCTAAACTGCAGTCACCTCATTCCCCAGGGGCATTACAGTGGCCAGCTAGGGCTCCATTTCCCTTTCGAGGGAAAGTAGATGCACAGTAGGAGTTAAATTCTGCGTTTTTTCTCCTCAGATCAGACCTACACCCTTTTTACCTCTCCTTTTGTTAATAATGTACTCAAATAGATCTTTTTTGCTATTTTTGATATCTCACTAGATTGAGTTTTTGCCTTTCATTATAGTTTCTGAAGACTGCCTTGTATTCTTGTTTTGTTTCCATCCTATAAGCGTCCCTTCTGCATTTTAAAGAACACTGCATCTGCCCACACTGTCTTCTTGGGATTTCTCTAATTTTTAGTTCTTGTAGGATTTATTTTTGGTTGCACCTTCAGTTATCTCATTTCACAGGATTTCCCATCCTTTCTGGACATTTTTCTCTTTCAGGAAACATTGGATCTGACTCTTCTCAATTTCTCTCCCCCAAGACGTCACAAATTCAATAATAACATTATCAGTTTTTCCCAAGGCATCAGTCACTTTCACTACTTCAATCAACTCTTTTCTGCCCAGGATAGCAGACCCCCTTGTTCTGTCTTCCACCTTCTGACAAATGAAGTTGTCAGTGACAGAGGACAAGAATTGGATATTTTCTGCCTGCCCAGGCACTGTATAAATAAGCAAAACTCCCACATTGGTATCACTTTTGTTTTTCTTTCCTTTTAGTCTTGGCTTGGCACTTTGATACCTGCAGGACTGCTTACTCCAGGCAGAGATTAGGCCACTCTTCGTTGAGATTTTGAAAATTGCTAAAGGTGGAGTTGTTTTGGAGATCCTTCCCTTGATTTTATGATGCCATATTTAATTCTAAAGTTCTGATTTTACTTGTGTGATGCTGTTTTTACTGCATAATATACATAGATGTTTTAAATTGTTTTATTATATTCTATGTAAGCTGCCAAGAATCTTTTTGATTTGCGTTGGGGTAGAAATGTATTTAATCAATAGATAAATATTCTCCTTGACAGGTTTTTATAGAATATTCCTTTAATTAACTGTGTTTTGAGCAGCTCTATATTTTGAATGTTTTACATGTTCTTTTTCTCTTTTGTAATAAAGTTGATTTTAATTTATGCCATACTTTTGATCCAGCTCCCCAAAGAGTTGGGGTAATTTCCTTATAGTTTATAGCTATAAACTAACAAGGACCAGGAGATGATGCTACAGAAACTATTCACTTTTCCCATCTTTTTTCTTTCTGTTTGCCATAAGGCAAACAGGATGTGAGATATCTACCTGTCATACACCAGGTAAAGGCATCCCACTGATGGTCCTGGGAATATTACATGTTCCGTGAGGGAAGATGCAATCTGAATGTCTCCGCAAAAGGAATTAAATGAAGATGATGTTAAATGAAGATGTTACCTAGCCAGGTAATGAAACATTTGCAAGCAAACAACCAAGCTTAGAGATCACCAAGGACTCCACAGTTCAACCGTGAGCTGCAGAGATTCTCTTCTATTGGAATTACATGAATTAGCCTCCACTGAGCTCAAAACTAACCATTTCACTGCAGTGTTGCAAAAGGTGCTTCCCTCAGCAGGGAAACCTCTTGTCACTCCACCAAAAACAGACTCTCCCACTCTGAAAGGCAAGATAGGATCATAATAGGGCAGGGAGGTGCAAATATGGGCATGCCTTTCTGGTACAGCAGAAAGTCTGTAAAGAGTTACCAGAGCTTTATAAAAACATGTCTTATTTTAACCTTGATCAAACAAACCAACTCTATTT